GGCCATAATAATCATATACATTGTATATTGACAAAATAAAAATTTAATGAAAAAAATAAATTAATTAATTAATTAAAATAAATAAATAAAAATAAAAAAGACAAAATATAAACGCTGGCAAGGATATGTAGAAAAGGGAACCCTTGTACACTGTTGGCGGGAATGTAAATTGAAACAGCCATTATGGAAAACAGTGTGAAGATTCCCATAAAAACTAAAAACGGGACTACTATATAATCCAGCAATTCCACTACTGGGTATATATCCAAAGGAAATGAAATCAGTGTGTCAAAAAGACATCTGCACTCCCATGTTCGTGGCAGCATTATTCACGGTAGCCAAGATATGGAAACAGCCTAAGTGTCTGCTGATAGATGAACAGATAAAGAAAATGTGGTATATTATACAATGAAATATTATTTGGCCATTAAAAAAGAAGAAAATCCTGCCATTTGCAACAACATGGATAAACCTGTAGTACATAAATCTTAAGAGAAATAAGGCAGTCACAGAAAGACAAATACTTCATGACCTATATGAAGAATCTAAAAAAGTCGAACTCACAGAAGCAGAGAGTAAAATGGTGGTTGCCAGGGGCTAGCAAACAGCAGAGTTTACCACTCAAAGTATCTGAGGCTGAGTAATTTATAAAGAGCAGGAAGTTTATTTCTCATAGTTCTGGAGGCTGGGAAGTCCAAGATCAAGGCTGGTGAGGGCCTGGTCTCTCTGCTTCCACAATGGTGCCTGGATGCTCCATCCTCCGGAGGCGAGGAACACTGTCCTCAGAAGGGACAGAAGGGATGGAAGAGGTAAAAAGGGGCACACTCTCTCTGTTAAACCATTTTATAAGGGCACCTAATCCCTTTCATGAGGCAGAGCCCTCCATGACCCAATTACCTCTTAAAGACCACACCTCTTAAAAGGATTAGAGGTGTGGCCTCTTGGATTAAATTTCAACATGAATTTTGGAGGAAACAAAAACATCCAAATCATAGCAGTGACTACAGTTAACAATACTTTATTGCATACTAGAAATTTGCTGAGAGTAGATATTAAGTGTTCTCACCACAATGGTTAAAAATAAAAGAAGGCAATTATGTGAGGTGATTAATTGATTGGGGTAATCATTTCACAATATACACATATATCAAGTCTTCATGTTGTACACCTTAAATATATACTAATTTTATTTGTATAAATAAAAAAAAGCTTCATAAAGCTGTCAATACTTTTTTTAGACAGGGATAGGTGAGGTAAAGGATA